CTGTGGGAGCAGCACGAACGTGGGATCCGGCCCTGGCCCAGTTGTTCGTGCCGCGGGGGCCCTCTCGGGAGCGGCCAGGAGGGGGGTGTCCAAGAGGGGGGCGTGCAAATCATGACCGGCGGCATGTGCGCGGCCCAGCGGTGGGGCCAGGGACGCAATGAAATAAGAAGAGGCGCCATGAAATCTGTGGAAATATCATGGCCCCCGTCATGGTATCCACCCCCCCCTAGTCATCACCCCCCTCTTTGCCGCCCCCGACCCTCGCATATCGATCTGGATCAAGACCTCGCCACCGCCGGGGCGTCCCCTCCCCGTGCGTTTCTCGGTGTCGTGCGTCTCTCTCGCACGAGGATGCAAAGAGTGTCCGCGAGGATCCTCGCCGAGAACAAGCGCACACGCCCGAGCGAAGCCGCCACGAATACCTCACAACGGTGGGGTCTGTAGGGCTCCGACCGTGAATTCCCAGAATATGTTTTTTTTTGCGACGCCGGATCTCAGGGGATACCGATACTAGAAAAAGAAAGAACGGCATAAGCAAAAACTTTTGGCGCTCCGCGCGGACTTCTTGGATCTGCGCTGGAATCCCCTCCCTGGCGCGCGGAGCGCGCCAAAGGCGGGGCTGGAAGGCGCCGCCAGGAGGCCCCAGGCGCCGATCCGAGAAATCCGCGCGGAGCGCCAAAAGTTTATGTCTATGTCGTTGTTTCCTCTTCGAGACACAGCTGCTACCCAGGACCTCCTGGAGTGCGTTCTGGCCAGGATGCCATGAAGGCGAGTGCCGCCGCGGCGACCGGGAGTTCTCCCTCTGCACCCCTGACCTTCCCGCAGTGCTAGAAAATTAAAATTAGAAAGTCCAAGGTTCGCCAGGGATTGGTTTCCAATCGAAACAGCCGAAGCCCTCCCGAAACCTTCCGAAAACCCTCTGGGAAGGGTTCCAGGACGGTTTTCGGAGGGTTTCGGAAGGGTTTCGGAAGGGCTTTCGCCGTTTTGTGAGGAAACCAGTCCTTAGCATGCGTTTCTGGATTTTTCGGCGATGACGGGCGTCATGGGGGGGGGGCGGGGGAAAGGCGGGGGGGGCTATGACGTAATGCCTTCCCCCCGCCGTGTGGCTCCGGCACCACAGCCGCGCCCGCGCGCACGACGATGAAGAGCGACGAGCGACGAGCGACGAGCGACGAGGACGAGCGACGAGGACGAGGACAACGACGACGCGAGCAGCATGTAGGTGGCGATCTGCCCCACAGCGCCTGTGTACACCACAATGCTCGCGTGCACCACAGCGCGCGTGCACACCACAGCGCCGGCGTACACCGTAACAGCCGTGTGCAACGCAGCGCCTGTGTACACCACAGCGGCCGGGTACACCACAGCGAATACGTACACCGCAGCAACCATGTGCAACACAGCGCCTGTGTACACCGAAATGCTTGCGTGCACCGCAGCGCCTGTGCACACCACAGCGCCTGTCTACATCACAGCATCCGCGCGCAACGCAGCGCTTGTGTACTCCGCAGTTGCTGCGTGCACAGGACAAGTAGAAGGAGCATGTAAGTGAGAATCTGCTACAGACAGCTGCACTCCACGCCAGGGAAGTGCTGAGAATCCGCCAGCCCCCTTGCGGGGCCATCAGGGTGCGAAGATAGAGCTCGCTGCTCCCTGCACCAGATCCAGTTTCCAGTTCCCAATGTTACATTAAGTATTGCGTTCTGCTTCTGTAAATTGTTACTGTCCGCGCGAGGGGGGGGGAGCGGGAAACCACCCTGGCTAGCGTCCCCGAATCGCGTGCTCTAAATTTCTGGGGGGCCGTGGGACACGTGCGAATATATGCAAATTCGCGCTCCCGACGCAATGATCCCTCGTAAATCATTGTATTCGCGCCTCCGAAGCCACGACCCATCGCAAATTACATGGTGTTCCCGTCCCCGAAACCACGATCCCAGCTAAAATACACCATACTCACGCTCCCGGAGTCACGATCACCTGAAAATTAAACAACATTCTCACCTCTGGGGCCACGATCTCCAGCAAATTACGCCACATTCCCACCCCCGAGGCCAGGTTCCCATGTAAATTACAAACATTCGCGCCCCCGAGGCCACGACACCGTGTAAATTACGCCACGCTCGCGCCCCCGAGGCCCCGATCCAGTGTAAATGACATCACGCTCGCGACCCCGAGGCCACGATCCTGCGTAAATTGCTCAAAATTCGCGCCCCCGAGGCCACGATCTCTTGTAAGAGGCCCCAAGAGGCGCCCAAGACGCGCCCAAGAGGCCTCCAAGAAGCCCCAAAGATACCCGACGAGGCCCCAAGAGGCCCCCAAGAGGCGCCCAAACCGGCATCAAGATGCCCCCGAGAGGCTCCCCACGAAACCCCAACACATGTACAAGAGGGCTCAGACCCACAACCACGGCACAGTGGCGGGATGGGCCGAAGGCCACTAGGTCCGCCGCCCCCTTTTGATTTATCAAAGGGGTGCCTGGCGCGCCGGATGATGTGGCTTTTGGTTTTGGTTCTTTTTCCAAAAGAACTCCCCCTGGGGCTTCGGCCCGTCCCGCCGGCCACCGGAAAGGCGCTCAAAACGCGTCCGTCGTGCCCCTGTTTCCTCCAGTTGGCCCAAGATGGCGTCCAAGACGGCCAAGATGGCTCCGGATGGTCTCCAAGACGTCTCCAAGACGGCCCAAGATGGGCTCCAAGACGGCTAAGATGGCCCCAAGATGCCTCCGAGACGGCCCAAGATGGCCTCAAGATGGTTCCAAATAACCCAAAAGACACACAAGAGGCCTCCAAGACGGCCCAAGAGCCCTCCAAGACGTCGTCCAGGAAGGCCGAAGAGGCCAAAATCATTGATTTTCCTTAGGTTGTTGAAGGATTTTGGCATTTGCGCCTTTTCGGCTTTCCGACGGCCCAAGACGGCCCAAGACCCCCGAAGATCGCCCAAGAGGCCCCCCAAGAGGGCCCCATGACGGCCCAAGTGGCCTCCAAGACGGCCCCAAGAGGGCCCCAAGACGGCCCAAGAGGCCTCCAACACGCCCAAGATGGTCTCCAAGACGCTCAAGATGGCCTCCAAGACGCCCAAGATGGCCTCCAAGACGGCCCCGAAGCGCCCCAACAGGGCCCCAAGTCGACCCAGAAAGGCCCCCAAGAGGGCCTCAAGACGGCCCAAGAGGCCCCCAAGAGGGCCTCCAGGAAGGCCAGAAAAGGACAACAACATTGATGTTCCTATGGCTTTGAGGGATTTGGGAATTTGCTTCTTTTCGGCCTTCCGACGGCCTTCCGACGGCCCAAGAGCCCCCAAAGATCGCCGAAAGATCGCCCAAGAGGCCTCCAAGATGGCCCCAGAACGGCCCAAGAACGCCCCAAGACGGTCCAAGAGGCCCCCAAGACGGCACACGAGGCCTTTAAGACACCCAAGATGGCCTCCAAGACGGCCCTGGGGCATTCCAAGAGGGCCCCAAGTCGGCCCAGAAAGGCTTCCCAAACGGCTTCCGACGGCGTCAGACGGGCCAGGAGTCCACCAAGATGGCCGAAGTTGGCCCTAAGATGGCCCAAGACGGCCCAAGAGGCCTCCAAGAGGGCCCCCAGGAAGGCCCGAAAAGGCCAAGATCAGTGATGTCCTTTGGGTTTTTGAAGGATTGTGGCATTTGTTTTTGTTTCTGCCTTCCGACGGCCCGAGACAGCCCAAGTGCCCCCAAAGATCGCCCAAGAGGCCCCAGACACGGCCCCAAGAGGCCCCCAAGACGGCCCAAGAGGTCTCCAAGACGCTCAAGATGGCCTCCAAGACGGGCCAAGAGCCCTCCAAGACGTTCTCCACGAAGGCCCGAAAGGATCAAAATGGCCTCCAGACGGCCAAGATGACCTTCAAGGTGGCAACATGTTCCCCGAAGGCTTTCCAAACCGATTCGGGAAACACATGGTCCGATAGCTTGGCAGGTCTGGCCTCAACGTTCGGCCACATAGGCGCTTCCAAAAAGGCAGGGGGCGGCGGTGATTCGCCGTAGGCGTCTTAGATTCCGCCGCCCCCTGTCGACTCATCGCAAGGGTGCCTGTGCTAGATTATTTCGGTTTTGGTTTTGGTTTGTTGTTCCCAACGAACTCCCTCTGGGGCTTCGGCCCGTCCCGCCGGGGTCCCGGAATGCTCTTCCAGGACCGGAAACGACCTCAACGTCCGCAAAAATTGTTCCAAGACGGCTTAAGATGGCCTCCAAGATGGCCACGTTGGTCCAAGATGGCCTCCAAGATGGTCCAAGATGGCCTCCAAGTCTGCCCAAGAGAGGAGGAGATGCCTCCAAGTCCGCCAAAGAAACTTCCAAGACGGCCCAAGACGGTCCAAGAGGTGCCCAAGAAGCCTCCAAGACGGCCCCAGAGGCCTCCGAGAGGTCCTCCAGGAGCGCCCGAAGAGGCCAAAATCTTTGATTTTACTTAGGTTTCTAGAAGTTTGTCGTTTTTCCGACGATCCAAGACGGTCCAAGAGGCCCCCACGATCGCCCCCACACAGCGCCCAGAGGCCTTTAAGACGCCCAAGTAAGATGGCCTCCAAGACGGCCCCGAAGCGCCCCAAGAGGGCCCCAAGTCGGCCCAGAAAGGCTTCCCAAACGGCTTCCGACGGTGTCAGACGGGCCAGGAGTCCACCAAGATGGCCGAAGTTGGCTCGAAGCTGGCCCAAGACGGCCCAAGAGGCCTCCAAGAGGGCCTCCAGGAAGACCAGACAAGGCCAACAACATTGATGTTCCTTAGGTTTTTGAAGGATTTGGACATTTGCTTCTTTTCGGCCATTCGAAAGCCCGATACTGCGCAAGAACACCCAAAGATCGCCCAATAGGCCTCCAAGATGGCCCCAGAACGGCCCATGAGGCCCCCACGACGACCCCAAGAGGGCACAAAGACAGCCCAGGAGGCTTTTAAGACACCCAAGATGGCCTCTATGACGGCCCTGGAGCACCCCAAGAGGGCCCCAAGTCGGCCCAGAAAGGCCCCCCAAACGGCTTCCGACGGCGTCGGACG